TGGAGAAGCAAAAATTATTGTCCAACTTCAGTTCTCAGTCTGGCCCACATCTCCAGCTGCTGCAGATTAATTAGTGTTAGGAAACTGGGATCCAGCACCAGTCTATACTGAGTGCTGCTCCAAAAGCAGAGTAAATGTTGCTGACAAAACTTAGTGCTCTAATGAGTAGAGCTTGAGAAACGAATAATTCCTTAACTGAGTATGATGAATGTATAAGGTTAGAGGTGGAGGGAATGCTTAATCTGGTAATCACTTAGAGAAAATGTGGGCAATTTCTCTGTGGAGAACAACTACAAAGAGCTCTTGCAATCTCAGGGAAGCTGAGCCCTTTATTCAGTTTGTTGTCTCCTGGGAGCCTTCATCCAACAGAGCCAACATTGCCTCTCCAGACACATAGGTTTGTGTTTGCTACTCAGTTTTTATATTAATTACCTTTCACATTACTCATAATGTGCCACACTGGGCAGTGCTCAAGAAGGCAGGCACCACTGCACTGCTGATTTAGGTCTGGCACACATCCACATTCTCTTGACGACCCCCTCTCTCCGCCCCACCACCACTACCACCACCACCTTTTTTCCACAAAAAGCAATGAAATAATAATAGTTGATGGCACCATCTAAGAAGTGGCATAATGGAAGATGCACCTTGGGCTTTGGAATCATTTCTAGGTTAGAATTCTGCTACTAACTACTACATAGCTGAGAACACTCACTTCACCAATGTTCTGCTTTGATCTGCACCTGACAATTGGAGGTAGGCTGTGGTGAACTTAGAAACAGAAAATACAGAGCAGCCTTTTCCCCTTCTGATCATATTCCTGCCAGTTATCTGGTACCTGACACAATTACAGCCATGCTAGATGCCTAGGTGAAGCTCTTTGTTTCCCAGGACTCACTCATGACCATAACTAAGAACTTCCCCAGAAAGAGCTCTTGCAATCTCAGGGAAGCTGAGCCCTTTATTCAGTTTGTTGTCTCCTGGGAGCCTTCATCCAACAGAGCCAACATTGCCTCTCCAGACACATAGGTTTGTGTTTGCTACTCAGTTTTTATATTAATTACCTTTCACATTCATTTATATGCAAAGTTGTTAATAAAAATATTTAGGGCAAAAAGATTCTGTGTCATGCTAAGTCCATCAAGATATTAACATTGATGATACTTATAGAATTTAGGTAGCTTTCAAGGATTGAAGACTAACAAGAAATACTAAAGTGGTACAATTAATACCACCAAAGCCACTACCTTTTGAGATGTGAAATTTCACAAGGTATACACAATTTAGATGACAGATCAAAGCTCAAATTCTAAGGACGAACACCTAAGATATTTCTTTGATCTCATAAGCCTCACCAGGAAAAGATGATCCTTTTAAAGGGAATAAATGAGGAGAGTTTAATGAAGATACTAATTAAAAGGGGGTGAACAAGGTTAAGGGAAACCAAGTCAAGACGGTGAGGTACCTCAGTGGTGTCCAGATCTTTCTGCAATGATGGAAATGTTCTACATCCATATTGTCTAATACTGTAGCCATTAGCCATATGTGGCTACTGAGCACTTAAAATGCGGTTAGTGCAACTAAGCCACTAAATTCTTAATTTTATTTAATCTCAACTAATTTAAGTCGGAATAGCCACAGGTAGCTAACGGCTACTATATTAGACAGTGCAGCTCAGGTTTAGCAAAGAGCCATTACAACTCCTGAGCCTAAAGACGTAAGAACAATTACCGGAACGTGAAATGATGCAGAATTAGAGCTCATCTTATAGGAGACGACATGACAGGAGCTGTAGCCTTGACAGAAGAATGCAACCGCTGCCAACTTGCAGACTGGCAGGAGAAATAAATGCTGCGGATACCCTAACTCATTTTTCCTGCCCAACCATCCACTGTGGTGCCTCTGACTGGTGGAACTCACCAGAAACTAGAGGACAAGAAAACTTGCTGATGTAGTCCATAAAGGGCACAGAACATAGTGAAAGGTGGAGAGTAGGTCTGGAGCAAGACATTATTATACAATGTACAAAATTAATTGAGGCATCAAACATCTGGCTTATTAGCACTTATAAATCTAAATAAATAGGGAATCAGTGGCAAAAAGTGGAACAAAGGCATGTTTTTCTATGAAGTCCTACAAATGTGTCTTATTAAAGCTATCCCAGAGATCTCTGCTACACAAAACAGCACAACACTTTAACCAAACTGCAACTGGGTTCATTTCGGTTTTCATGTATGAAGAATGAGGTCAATACCATGTCCCTTTGACTATATTCAACGCAGTATTCTTACCAAGGATCTGTGTGAAACTTTTTCCAAGGTACTATCTCAAATCACAAAGCCTGGGAGTGAGAAATTTTTCACTTGACTTAGGCTAAAGGTCACTGTAACTTACTAAGTGGATAAACTTAGATTAGAAAATGGGAGGAAGACCAATAAACTAGATACAGAGATCCAAGGTCCCCCAACTCCTACTGCAGGACTAGATGACCACTCTCTTCAGATAGGCCTACTTATGTTTTATTTTTGTACCATCTCTCTGAACACCGGTATGTGTTTTAACAACCTCTTTCACTTTCTGTACTGGATAGTAGTGCTAATGAGAAAAAAAAGAGACAGAAGGAGGAAGTGGTAATATCTATAGTCAGAGTCAAATCCTATTTGTGGAAATCTTTATTGTCTAATTAGTGGTCCTGAATATACCAAAAGTCCAGTCCTTACCGCCTAGCACTTAAGGAAGAAAGGTCTAATGTCACTGTATGGGGGTTGAAGTAGGTGCCAAAGGAAAAGCAGTTCCCACCACCTCCAAGGAGCAGGAGCTGTTGCTCTTCAGGAAGGAGGACGCTGGTATGGTTGTGTAACATTAATGGCCATGGCACACACACTGTGTCAATCTGATACTCAGAGCTCAATCCTGTAGTCAAATCGATAACAGTCACTCCAGGAATGGAGGAGGAATGAATCCAGACCCCTCCAACCAGCAAAAGCTTCCCATTGAGCACATGAGCTGTGTGGGAGTACCTTGGGGTAATGGGAGGCTGGATGACTATTGATTCCCAGAGGAATCCACAAGAGATTGGTTTCAGAAAGAGTACAGAGCTCAGTGGCTCCTCGGAAGCACCCAGACCTCCAGCAATAAGGGCTCCCCCTTGCCAGCTGCAAGCACTGTGGGAATGCCGACCTTCAGGTGCTTCCCCCTCCACTGGGATCCGGACCCAAGCCATTGTCCCCACATGCAGAAAATGCCAGTCACTTAGTACAGGTTCCACCACACTTCGACCCCCATACACAAACAAATATTTTTGGTTCTCATAGGACACTTCTATTGTTGAATGCCTCCAACGTGACAAAGTGGAATCTTCTTCTGGGCCCGCCTTTGTTACTGTTACACTTAGGTTCTCAGTGCTATTATTCTCATTCTTACAAAAATGAAGTTGGAGAATCCCCAAGGCTGGAGTTACTGGGGACAGTCTCCCTCCCAGAACCAGAACCTGAGTATCTGAAAGTCTTGTCATGGTATGATAAAGCCGTCCATCCCACTGAGCTCCAGTCCCCCAACCGCATATTTGGTTGCCTTTCCATTCAGTGTCACAATATCTTGAGAGCAAGTGAAACTTGCTAATTCGGCAATGCCTCCCCTCTTGCTCTCCAAATCCTCCCGCACTGAGAATAATGCCTGAGCTCAAAAGGACAGAGGTGTGGCCATATCTCTTAAGGTTTGGGCCCTGGCTGTCACTAGTGACTACCATGGCAGGGAAGACTCCTGAAGGGGCGGCAGGATCCACCCGAGGAAAGGCGTCTGAAGATGGAAACACCAGAGTTTGGGAGAGAGCGTCTCCCCTAGAAGCGGCCAGAATGAAATAGTGGGCGCACTTCAGATGCCACTCCTCAAACTCATCAAAAGGTTCAAGACTTTCCATGCGCCCGCGTTCTTCTGCGGGCACAAGGCAGCGATAGAACCCATTCATGTCCATGGCACTGCAGGCAGTCCAGCCAGCCTGAAGGAAGCGGTGCCGCTGGGCCTCCAGGTCGGGGAAGCGGTCGAGGCCGTGCAGGGGGGAATTCAGCTGCCGAAAATGTTGCAGCATGAACTGGCCAAAGGCATCATGCGGCCTCATCTGCTCGTAGACCACGAAAAGGGCATTAGGAAAACGCCGGGCCGCCCAGGTGATGAGGGCCGCGGCATCATCCGGCTCGAGGTAAGTCAGCACGGCCTCGGCCAGGAGCAGGGTGGGTGAGGCCGCGTCAAGGCCCGCGGCGGCCAGGGCCCGGTCCAACTGAGGGAGCTGCCGCAGGTCCAGGCCCAGGATGCGGTAGTCCGGGCTCTCAAAGCACAGCGGTGACGCGGGGTCCCCACTCTGGAAGGGTCCCGTTAACGCGCGCAGCTTCGGCATATCTCGAATCCTCTCCGCTTTGCGCCGCGCCACGTCGGGAAAATCTACCTCCCAGACCGCAGCCCCGGCCAGGCGGCCGGCACTTTTGAGGCGAAAATACAGCGAGTCGGAGCCGGCGCCCAGCGACACTACCTGGCCGCGAGGCGCGCCCGGGGCGGCGCACGTCCGCTCCAGGAAGGCGCGCACACAGTGCCGCACGGCGCGTGCGCGGACGTAGTAGCCGCGGTGGATGAGAGGCGCGCGGCGCGCAGTCCCCGGAACTAGCAACGCGGCAAAGGTGTCGTGCACGTACCCGCGCGCGGCCAGAGAGCTCTTGCTGAGGGCGCTGCTGTCGTTGGTATTCTGTACTGCCCCTGCCCGACGCTCGCGGCTCCGCGGGCCCATGGCCAGGAGAGACTCAGGAGTGGCAATCTGTCCTTCCGTAGGACCCGCCTCGCGGACTTCTGTACGGAAAAATCGCCCCCGCTCCGTTTCTGCTCTTCCGCGCACACGTGTGCGTCACTTCCGGGCAGAAGGCACTTGGCCAATCAGAATTGAAGAGGATGTAGCTTGTGCTAAAATTCGACTGGAATTGACTCTCATTCTCTGGGACTGCGTTTTCGCGGGAAGTTGCCAGCTACGGCTTATTGTGGACGCGTGGACTGTGTCAGGGAAGCGCGGGTTGGCGCTTTTCTACAAGCTTTTCCGTCTGAACTTTTTTACCTAAGTTCTCGTACTTGACTCAACCGTTGACAAAAATCTTGACGAGGTGAGTCTGTGGGAACTGACAACCAGACCTCCTTGGACGGAGGATGCCCCCTGGTGGGGCAAAGCAGGGTTAAGACCACTGACTTTGGTGAGCAAGGACAGGGTGTCGTTCCTCGGATGCTAACTACTAGTGCTCACTAATTTGTTTAATGCTTTCATCGTTATGAAAGAGATCCCATTTCAACCTGAAAACAAGTCCCTGAGGCCAGATCCAAAATGAAAAAACCTTTACCGAGGTGGTGATTCACCCAATAAGTGTCCCCACAGATAGATACTATTATTTCCCTTATATTCCTGGCTCTGTGCGAAGCTGACAATAAGTTAACCACTCGGCCTCTGTTTCTCAGCTGTAAAATGACATTCCCCTCCACTTTGAGAGTTCTGTGATTCTAGGGTAGTGTTGAATATGCCCGCGGAGGAGAGAATCACGGAAGAGAGGCAATTATTCCTTCTGACGTGGTCTGAGTCTTTTTGGGGGTTTAAGATAACCATCAAGTTTCTAAATTAGGTGTTTGAGCGTCATCACCAGTGGGAAGCCGCTTCCAGAGATATTTAGGAGATTTGTAATTTATTAATTGGGATTTGGTGACTGACAGTAGGGGCTGAGATGGAGAAGGAAATCGGGATGACTGTGATTTGAAGCAGCTTAGCACATGGTTAAGACCGTGAGTTTTGGAATCCAGCTAGTTTGGATACTGGAACTCAAAAGGTTGAGTCAGGATAAAGGTTTAATAATTGAGAAGCGTCATTCAGATTTGGGTTTAAGAGCTCTTAATAACCTTAGGGAGAGTAATTTCTGTGGAGCAGCAAGAGTGTAATCCATGTTTCAGTGAGTAGGAAATAAAGTAAATGGAGGCAGCCGGTCTAAATTATACTTTCAAGGAGCTTAGCTCAAAAGGAAAAGAAAGGCAGGGCAGTAGCTAAAGAGGAATGTGGGATAAAAGAAAATTTTTTGTTTTTTTGGTTTTTAGATGTAAGCAAATACTGCACATGCATGTTGGTCTCCTGAGAGAAGTTTGCCAGTGGAGCGAGAGATTGGAGGAATAGAAAAGTGACGTTAACTGGTGGAGTAATGACTTGGAATAGATAGGAAAGAATGGGATCGTCAGCACAAATTAGTCTTGGGGACAGGGAATGAATCCTTTTTCTCTGACTCGTGAGGGAAGAAATGGTATAATAAAGATAAGTTCAAGTGTGGAGGAGGACAGAGAGAAATACAGGGAATTCATGCCTGGTGGCTTTTGTTGTCGCTGTAAAGCTCCTTGCTGGGTTGTCAGTTCAGTGTGAGGCGGTTAGGTCTGGTGCAACACTTGAGAAGTTTGGAATTGCCCCTGAAGGGAGTGGGAGAACTCCCCTGAGCTTGCTGGGCCTTGGGATCCTCGCCTCTGAAATGAGAGGAGTAAGTGCTGCTTTGTGAGGTGTCTCAAGGTTGATCGAGGGCCAAAGAGGAAAAAAAAAAAAAAGAGTTGTAGGACTTTGAAAAAAATGTATAGTGCTGTAGAAATGAATTTTTTAATGACAAGTTAGTAAAATGTACATGATGTTAGAAATATTACTTTTTTGGTAAAGAGCAGATCAAGAAAAGTGATTGAAGAAGAAAGAGAATGGAGCAAAGTTTGTGATTTGGGTGCCTTATGATTGTTTTCTGGTTATTTTTTTAATCTGTTTATTCTTATGTAAAATGAGGATAATAGTGCCTGATGGGTTGTTTTGAGAATTAAGTAAAGTAACCCTCTAAGACCCTTAGTACAGTGCCTGGCTCATAGTAAGTGGTTAATAAATAGTAACAAATGTTTTTATTACTCTGAATTCCCTTTTGGGGTTTTTTTGGCATGAAAAAAGTTCTCTGAGAGACAGGAGACTGGGTTCTGGCCCCGCTCTAACTTGATGAAATGTTAGTACAAATATAGGAAGATCTTATCTCAACATTTTGCCTTTTGACTCCTCCCTCACAGCCCAGCTTCTTCTGACTCAGGCCAAACCCAGCCCTGGAAGGTTGAATTTGGCAGGGCATGGTATTGTTGGTAGCAGTATCCTAGGCAAGCATCAATAAAAGAACAATTTTTAAAAAAAATTTTTTATTGAGTTAATGATAGGTTACAATCTTGTGAAATTTCAGTTGTACATTATTGTCTGTCGGTCGTGTTGTAGGTGCAACCCTTCACCCTTTGTGCCCACACCCCCCCTTTCCCCTGGTAGCCACTAATCTGTTCTCTTTGTCCACATGTTTAAATTCCTCATATGAGTGGAGTCATGCAGAGATTGTCCTTCTCTATCTGGCTTATTTCACTTAACGTAATTCCCTCAAGGTCCATCCATGTTTTTGCAAATGGGACAATTTTGTTCTTTTTTACAGCTGAGTAGTATTCCATTTTATAGATATAACACATCTTCTTTATCCATTCATCTGTTGATGGGCACTTAAGTTGCTTCCATGTCTTGGCTATTGTAAATAATGCTGCAACGAAGATTGGGGTGCATGGGACTTTTGGAATTGCTGACTTCAAGCTCTTTGGATAGATACCCAGTAATGGAATGGCTGGATTGGATGGTAGTTCTATTTTTAATTTTTTGAGGAATCTCCATACTGTTTTCCATAGTGGCTGCACCAGTTTGCATTCCCACCAGCAATGTATGAGGGTTCCTTTTTCTCCACAACCTCTCCAACATTTGTTACTGTTAGTTTTAGTTATTTTTCTCATTCTAATGGGTGTAAGGTGATATCTTAGTGTAGTTTTGATTTACATTCCCTGATGATCAGTGATGATGAACGTCTTTTCATGTGCCTATTGGCCATCAGTATATCTTCTTTGGAGAAATGTCTGTTCATGTCTCCTGCCCATTTTTTCATCAGGTTAACTTTTTCTTGTTGAGTTGTGTGAGTTCTTTATATATTATGGATATTAAGCCTTTGTCGAATGTATTACTTGCAAATATTTTTTCCCAGTTAGTGGGTTGTTTTTTTGTTTCAATCCTGTTTTCCCTTGCCTTGAAGAAGCTCTTTAGTCTGATGAAGTCCCATTTGTTTATTCTTTCTATTGTTTCCCTTGTGTGAGAAGACATGGTGTCCGAAAAGATCCTTTTAATACTGATGTCAAAGAGTGTACTGCCTATATTTTCTTCTAGAAGCCTTATGGTTTCAAGTCTCAGCTTTAGGTCTTTAATCCATTTTGAGTTTATTTTGGTGAATGGTGAAGAAGAATGGTCAATTTTCATTTTTTCACATGTGGCTTTCCAGTTTTCCCAGCACCATTTGTTGAAAAGACTTTCTTTTCTCCGTTGTATGCCCTCAGCTCCTTTGTCGAAGATTAGCTGTCCATAGATATGTGGTTTTATTTCTGGGCTTTCAATTCTGTTCCATTGATCTGTGCACCTGTTTTTGTACGAGTACCATGCTGTTTTGATTACTGTAGCCTTGTAATATGTTTTCAAGTCAGGGATTGTGATGCTTCCAGCTGTGTTCTTTTTTCTCAGGATTGCTTTAGAAATTCGGGGTCTTTTGTTGCCCCATATGAATTTTAGGATTCTTTGTTCTATTTCTGTAAAGAATGTCATTGGGATTCTGATTGGGGTGGCGTTGAATCTGTAGATTGCTTTAGGTAGAATGGACATTTTAACTATGTTTATTCTTCCAATCCATGTGCATGGAATGTCTTTCCATCTCTTTATGTCATCATCCATTTCTTTCAGGAAAGTCTTGTAATTTTCATTGTATAGGTCTTTCACTTCCTTAGTTAAATTCACCCCAAGGTCTTTTATTCTTTTTGTTGCGATTGTGAATGGTATTGTGTTCTTGAGTTCTTTTTCTGTCAGTTCGTTATTAGAATATAGAAATGCTACTGATTTATGTAAATTGATTTTATACCCTGCAACTTTGCTATAGGTGTTGATTACTTCTAAAAGTTTTCCAATGGATTCTTTGGGGTTTTCTATGTATAGGATCATGTCCTTTGCAAACAGTGAGAGTTTCACTTCTTCACTCCCTATTTGGATTCCTTTTATTCCTTTTTCTTGCCTGATTGCTCTGGCCAGGACCTCCAGTACTATGTTAAATAAGAGTGGTGATAGAGGGCATCCTTGTCTCGTTCCTGTTTTCAGGGTGATGGCGCTCAGTTTTTGCCCATTGAGTATGATGTTGGCTGTGGGAAGAACAATTATTTTTAAACGTGTAAAGATTGTGTTTGTTTTGATGGCGTTCAAGTTTCCGTAGGTTAACACTATAGCCAATAGGTCAGTAAATTTACTCACAAGTAAAGGTCAACCTGAGGGGTGATTTGAATGTGCAAAAAATAAGGTCAGGATCCTGGAGTAAGATTGAAAATGTTTATGAAAAGCTAGCCACCTCTTAGATTTGTTTCCAGCCTGTTGTGTAAAATGTCCTAAGTGGATTTTCAGGCTGTCATTCTATTGTCTAAACATAAAAGTTCTTTCCTCTTACAATTCATAATAATAAAATTGTTTTGCAAGAGTTTAAAAAAATTATTTATCAATTATTTTATTATTATTTTATTTGTGTATATTGCAAAATGGTCGCCACAGTAAGTCTAGTTAATATCTATCACCATACATAGTTACAGAATTTTTCCTTATGATGAAAACTTTTAAGATTTACTCAACACCTTTCAAATATGCAATACAGTATTAACTATAGTCACCATGCTATATATTACATCCCCATGACTGACTTATTTTCTAGTGGGAAATTTGTGCCTTTTGACCCCCTTAATCCATTTCCTCCCCCTCCCCCTGCCTCTGGCACCCACCAATCTTTCTCTGTATCTATGAGCTTAGGATTTTTTGTTTTTTTATATTCCACATATAAATGAGATCATATGGTATTTGTTTTTCTCTGTTTGATTTTTTTTTTTTTTTAAAGATTTTATTTTTTCCTTTTTCTCCCCAAAGCCCCCCGGTACATAGTTGTATATTCTTTGTTGTGGGTTTTTTTTTTTTTTTTAGTTGTGGCATGTGGGACGCTGCCTCAGCGTGGTTTGATGAGCA